GCGCGCGCAGTCGTACGGATCATATGATAATATTGTTCTTTCCGTAAGGGCTGAATATTCCTATTTTTCTACCGATTTTGGGTTGAAAGTAAGTATTCTTGTGAAAATTCTTAGAAGTGGATTATGTCGACACAACGTTAGATTAACTGTCCTATCATGACTTTGATAGCGTTCAAGTAATTATCGGGCCACGCAAAACTTCTTGCATTACTGTTATTAACGTAGAACACACGGCTAATTTTGTTTTTATTGTTTTTGGCTAGTTTTGTCATTTAGAGAAATGTCATCACCCAAAATTATATTCTTTACAAAATCTTAGCCTTGGGCAGTTATTAGTAAAATATTCTTAAAATTTCGCCAAATTCAGCTCCTATTTTCGTATTAAAGGCGCTTATATTCAATTTTTCACCCTTACCTCAGTTCTTGTAGTAAGATAAAGAAACTTAGTAAATATTCATTATTGCGCGAAAAGTACGTAAGGTCCATACGTTTCTAGGCTGCTGCCTCTTCATCAGTGGATAAAAGCAACTGTAAATTGTGCGCGTGACATAACGAAAAATTTGAATTTGAAGTTATTTGCGCGCGCTGACCAAAAAGAGCGCGCATGTAAACATTCAAAATAAACATTANTATAACAGAACAAGTATTATGTTCGTCAGATTTAACGACTGGACTACACCGCCACTTGACATCTCTATCATATTTAAACTCCTTTCTTTCTGTTACTGCATTTCTTAAGAATGTTCTGATTCTAATTGCTCTTCACAAGGAGTCTTCGCTTCATCCACCGTCCAACCTTTTGCTTCGCACCCTTGTAACAACTAATTTCTGTGTTGGTCTTACTGCAGAGCCTCTTGCTCTAAGCTGTTGGATGTCTGAAGTGAATGACCATAGGAATATTTGTCGCTTCGTATTACCCGCAGCTTTGTTAACAGGCTCTATTTTGTGTTTATTGTCTCCCTGGACACTGAGTGCAATAAGCGTGGACAGTCTTCTCGTCCTGTTGTTGGGAGTGAGATACAAACAAGTTGTCACTTAAAAGCTAATCTACGTGATCGTAATTACCATTTCGATTGTGCCAGTGTCCTTTCAGCAACGCAGTATTCCGTTATCAGCTTATGGTACTGGATTATAGTCTTACAGTCTTACTGAATTGGTGTCTAAATAATAACAGGTGTCTAAATATTAACAAGGGCCATGAAATTCTATCAACATGTATCCCGCTATCAAACGTTCCCATTAAAGATCAAGATGAATTGATCGAGCTGTTTTTTTCCCGAGAATAGTTCAGTTCACATGTTCCCAGTTATCCCTGGGACAGTCTCTTTTAGTTAAGAAACATACTTTTCGGTTTAAATCATGTTTAACATAT